TCCTGCTGTAATACTACTGTGTGGATAAGTATCTTTCTCTTGGAATCAACTGCTGTCTTGGTTTTTATTAGTTGCCACATTTTATTATTTGCCAAATCTGTTCATTTGTTCCTGACTTCTTCATCTAATTCTGCATGGGTAGTTCTGCACTCACTAAAATGTTAGAAGATGACATATATGGAGATGAAAAAGTGAAAAATACACCAGATAATAATCAGCTGTTTCCAGCTACTGGGAAGTTTGGCATCATAGCTCATCACCTTAGGGAATCTATCAGCCAGCCACCAGAGCGCAGACCCGAAAGATACCTGGTCGGCCCCTGGATTGCTTCCAGAGTCAGCAGACCATTGTCACTTCCTCCTGTTCTCATTCTTGTTTGTATTTCTTATTCTTTTTTTTTTAGAGTTTGTTTTTTATTGAATATGGTTGATTTACAATGTCATGTTAGTTTCAGGTGTACAGCACAGTGATTCAGATATAGATATAGATATAAATATCTATACCTATCTATATATATCTTTTTCAGATTCTTATCCCTTATAGGTTATTATAAAATATCGAGTATAGTTTCCTGTGCTCCAAAGTAGGTTCTTGTTGGTTATCTATTTTATATATCGTAGTGTGTATATGTTAATCCCAACCACCTAATTTGTAATCCTAAATTATATTCCTTATTCTTCTTGTTTAAGGCTCTTCTGCTTGCTTTCTTCCACACTCAGGAACTTCCAAACATGTAAAAATTACAAGTTACTCCGTAAGCAATCAGGAAAACATGTCAGTTTAATCCAACTGAATGTCAGTTTTCCCTAGTAAATAACAAAATAAAATATGCTTCTGAAGCTTCTGGAATTTTAAATTTTAACCTAAATAACCATTAAAAGTGAATTTAGTACATTTGCAAATGTTTGGTTGCAGCAGGCTTATACCTAAGATGTAAAATTAAAGCACTGTATTATTTATAAAGAGATTTTAGTTCTCTAGAGTAAAAATATTTTAGTACAAATCAGAATATTTCTTTGAGAACTAATCCTTTGTATTTTTAAAGGAAAAAAAAAGTATTTATTGCAATCATTTAAAGTGGACTAGGTTAATGTATTCACTTCTTACCCCTAGAGGCATGGCTTTAAGTTTGACTTAGTGAAAATGAGTTTTGAGGCCTCGACCACCTCTCCTTGGGTATTTGCTGATATCACAAAACCAACCCAACAATTTGTCACGGTTGTTGCCGTTTACTCAGGAGGCCCAAGAAGTACAGTCGCCTTATTTTCTCGTTTTATTTTCCTTTCCTTGAGGCTATTCCTTTTGGTTGCAGACTCTTAGCAGCCCCAAACTTGGGGCTCACCCACATTATTTTCACCGTCCAGGAAAACTCAAGAACCATTCTTGGCAAAGCTA